AAAAATACGTCCTAACCGGTGGAGAAATTATCGACAAAATTATTACCTCAGCTTTACCCCTAATGGTAATGTACGCTTCAAAGTTCGCAGAAACCTTTATTTAACTCTAACTATTCGTACAATATGTTTGTGTTTAGAATAAGGTCACATTGGACTATATGCTGCGTCCACAAGGAAATCGAACTTCGGATTTTAGCGCTGTAAGTTCGTAAGCTTACCGCTGTCCCACCGGGAGACGTATTTTTACAAGCCCCCCTGTGGCTCGGCGGAACGTCTGAAGGCTCATAACGCTAAAAACCGAGTTTCGATAACCCGTGATGGGCACAGCACAGATAGCCCATTGTGCAGCTTTGCGCCTAACAATAGAAAATATTCCTAAAATTCTAGTTTATGCCCATATAGCTTTGGGTAGGAACTTTTATATCTGTAGAGGTACATCATTCATAAGTATTTCATATGTGGTTTAGTAGTTGTAACCCCGAAGTTTGCATTTCCTCACAACTTCCTGAAAAAAGTGCTCGTGAAAACTACTTTATTTCGGAAATAATTTCATTGGAAGTAACTCGTTATGAACGCACGTGTACGTAACCTACTACGAGTTCTTTTTTTAGCATGCACGTGTATGTTTTCTATATTTCAACACAGTTTCACCGGAAGTGACCCCTTAGGAACACACACTATTACACGATCTACCTTGGATTAACTTCACCAGTATGACTCTTTTCGAGTTTAAACATTTACGATACCCAATTCTGAACATTTTTTTTCCACTGGAAGTATATTTTTTCTGGGTTCATATATGTACGTCACTTCCACCGGAAGGACTCTGTCTGAGCACACTTGTGAACACTAATTGTCGCAGTCACAGTTGAAAGACTCCGAATCAAGCACCTTAAGCAACAAGCCACGCTAGGCATTTATATAGGTTAGGCCTTTTGAATAGAATAGACCTTTACATAGGTTAGGCCTTTTAAATATAATAGACCTTTGCATAGGTTAGGCCTTTTGAATAGAATAGACCTTTATATATGTTAGGCCTTTTAAATAGAATAGACCTTTATATATGTTAGGCCTTTTAAATAGAACAGACCTTTATATATGTTAGGCCTTTTAAATAGAATAGACCTTTATATATGTTAGGCCTTTTAAATAGAATAGACCTTTATATATGTTAGGCCTTTTAAACAGAATATGTTTAAAAGGCATGCAACTATACGGATTTTATTTGCTTTTTATTCTCAGACGTATCATGCATGCTGAAAGCCTTTTTTATCTATGTAGCAAGAGAACATTTTTTATAGCGCGGAACTAAAGTGATAAATAAGCTCTAATTACGTTTTTGCCCGTGTGTGTGTGTTTGTAAGACTCGATGGATAACAGTTTCGGAAATCATAGTAGTTTTATAATAATTTAAATATTGCAGGTTAGTTAATTTCTGTACTTTTTCTATGAATGAGTTTCTGTAAGACATCAGCTGAAGACACCAATTTCAGTAAGTTTTTATCTTTACTACAATATTTCTCACACTTTTACTTTATCACAAGCCTTTTCTAAGTGTGTCTTGGAAAAACACTCGATTCACATATACAATCATTACAAACCGAGGTAAAAGTCTTACCTTTCTCATGGGCAGTATAGGCACATCAGCTAAGCTGTAACTATCATAAAAAATATTTAGGCCTAACTGTAGTTTTACGTGTATACTTCCAAGAGTATTACTATCAGCAATAGAAAATAAATTTCAACGTAAAAAAGAATAGTTTCTCTAAACATTTAAGTGAAGATTATAGATCTCTATAACTTACAGTTTTATTACCTAACCATATTAGGAACATGATTATATAACGAAGTCAATAATATTCGATTATACGCTTTACATTATTACAGGTATCAGCCTACGCTAACGTTATAACTAATTAGTCTCGAAGCAGACGATGTAATATTACATATACATGTCTGATTTTTCGTAGAAACCTAATAATAAACGACGTAGTAAAATTTATAAGAAAGTCAACGCATATTTTGCGTCTTATATATTTAATATTGGTAAAATGAGGCAAGCCAAAGACTTGCCTTTTTTCGGTTTGAAAATGTTAAATACTGCAAATTATAAAATCCGACCACTAGATGACAGCACTATGATGCATGCCTAAAAAAGCAACTGTACTTTCCCAGGTTCTTTTACTTAAATAATATTTTTAGTATAGCAAATATACTGTGATATCGACAGTAAATGAGCCGCATTAGGTGACTAATTGACGTCCCAAACCAGTTGACGACTTGCCCAAACACTATTTTCCCCCCTTTTGAAGTTTTATAGCTTCACCCATTATTTCTGCTTACTAGTTACGTAAACCCCAAATTTGTAAAACTGTTATAACACTCAGGAAATAGATGTTTGATGATGAGCCAGTCTATTTCTACTCCAGTCTTACTCTGAAACAATCCAGAAACCTTGAAACAGTTATTACTTATTCTCAAAACAGTTAACTTTTAGAACGTGAACACAGTTCTATACTTGAAGGTTAAAACATAAAACGGTTACTAGAACATAAACACAGTTCGATACTTGAAGGTTAAAACATAAAACGGTTACTAGAACATAAACACAGTTCTTTACTTGAAGGTTAAAACATAAAACCGTTACTAGAACATATACACAGTTCGATACTTGAAGGTTAAAACATAAAACGGTTAATAGAACATATACACAGTTCTATCCTTGAAGTTTAAAACACATAAATGTTAAAAGAACATATACACAGTTCTCTCCTTGAAGGTTAAAACATAAAACGGTTAATAGAGCGTATGCACAGTTCTGTACTTGAAGGTTAAAACATAATAAAGTTAACATTTAGAACACAACTACATATGAAGATTAAAATATTTTTCAAGCAGGTTGTGTAGTCTCTTTTAGCATGGGCCAAATTACAAGAAATAAACATTTTAAATCATAAGCACCATGCCCAGGAATAATGACGATAGAATAGCACTGTTACATAATATACCACTGGGATATATATGATGGAGAAAAATGTGCTCTGATAACACCATGATGGTAAAACATTAGCACGAGGACAAATAGGAATACTGAAACGCTATCGCGAAAATTATTTTATCTTTCTTATCTTATAAGTGTACTGTAACATAGATATTCGGAGTGAAAAGGAAGGAGCCACTGAACCTAGATTTGGTGTGGTAAGAAGAGAACCACTGAGTTTAGATTTGATGTGAAAAGGAAAGAGAAGAATCCACTAAGTTGAGATTTGATGTGAAAAGAAGGGATACACTGAGTATAGTTTTCGAGTGAAAAGGAAGGAGCCACTGAATTTAGATTTGGAGTGAAAAAAGGATCCACTAAGTTGAGATTTGATGTGAAAAGAAGAGATCCACTAAGTTGAGATTTGATGTGAAAAGAAGAGATCCACTGAGTATAGTTTTAGAGTGAAAAGGAAGGAGCCACTTAATTTAGATTTGGTGTGAAAAGGAGGGAACCACCAAGTATAAATTTGGGGTGAAAAGGAAGAAGCCGTTGAATTTAGATTTAGTGCGAAAAGGAGGGAACCACCGAGTTTATATTTGGTGTGAAAAGGAAGAAGCCGTTCAATTTAGATTTGGTGTGAAAAGGAGGGAACCACCAAGTATAAATTTGGGGTGAAAAGGAAGAAGCCGTTGAATTTAGATTTAGTGCGAAAAGGAGGGAACCACCGAGTTTATATTTGGTGTGAAAAGGAAGAAGCCGTTCAGTTTATATTTGGTGTGAAAAGGAGGCATCCGTTCAGTTTAGAGTTGGTGTGATAAAGAGGATGAAACTACTGAGATTAGATCATAAAAATTTAGAAGGTGACGATTGTTACAATCATTAAAACTGGATGATAGATAAAATTAAGAACTTTAAGCAACTCAAACAGAAACACGTGTTTTCCGCGTTTAAACTGGGTGTAGATTGACTAGACTGGCAAAGATACGAATGGTCCAATTAACTTACATGTCACGCGTGAAAACGTGACTTTGTTTTTCAAACACCTAAACAGTGTACCTTATGAACGCAAGTGTATATTTGGATCTCATTATTCCGCTTTCTATTCCTTGCCCTTATACCTCCCGTGATATAGATTACCGTATTTTTCGGTG